GTTCAATTTTGAGTAATTAACAATTACTAAATTGTATTTTATTTGGTGCCTAACGTGGGGCAATGCAATTTCTACACAAATCTAATATAATTAAAGTACTACTAATTAAATTAGTAAATTACAAATTTATGTTTTCGTATGTGTGTTATTGATGAAGGGTTGCTACATGTTTGCGATATTCTGTTTTATTATTTATACTTAGCCCGAGGTTTTTCTGTAAAAGTTTAACGTAGTTATACTTGTGTTTGGAGTGGAGGAGCATCCAGCGATGAAGCTGTAGGTAGTGAAATGGTGGGTTGAATGCAGCAAAATAAAACGGGATGGCAAGGAAACTACTCGCAGAAAGAGGAAATGGCATTATCCATTTGCGAAAAAGGGGAAAGAGCTAAACGTAATTTGTTGCAATCGAATCCGCGGAATTTAATAAAGGTCCTTCCCATTCCTAAACCCCCGCTGATGATTTGTGTGTGTGTGGGTCGGGTCGGTGCCTGCCCCTGCGCAAAATATGATCACCAATAAAACGATATTGTTTCCCACCGGGGTTGAGTTCATACTCGTCGACGATAAATTGGCACGTCCAGATTATCCACAATCGGAATGAGAAATTTGCATTAACATCGTAATCACCTTATAAACCTTTATACACTTTGCATCATGTACGTACTTTCGAAAGCATATGCTAACCGGTACTCTCGAAGTCTTTACTGGCTTCCACAGATAATCATTTTGGATATCGTCGTTGGATATCGATATTAACATAAAGCAAGTGTTGATGGATGATGGACGCGGCTTCCTGGTGTCTTGATCCACCAGCGCGGCTCGCTTGGATACCGCAGCTTCAGGGTAGACGCGGAGAAGATCTAAATTACAAATTGGATTGTGCCTGGAATCCTCCGGAAGACATCATCGTACTCCTATCGAGGATTATACAGAGGAAAAAAAAAAGGATGATGGAGAGAAATCGGGGCGGAAGCGGTTTGCGATCTGGAAACGAAAAAAAAAAAAGGGGGAATATCGCATTATTTGCAGATATAAACAAGCTCCCGTGGGATATCAATGGGAATTCCAACTGCAATCAATTCACCTTTTATACTGCTGCGGCCGCAACAAAAGATAATAATTACGATTCAAACAGGAAACGGGCGCTGGAATCCGCAATACATATTATATAATAAAGCAACGGACGGACGAGAAGAGGGCTGCAGGAATGGAATATCATAAAACAAAAATGTGAGAGATGATGAAGAGGAGATAATAACAAATCCATTATAATTATTCGATGCAAATCATGGTGGTATTCTCTTTATGTTCTGCTGTTGTTGTTGCTGTGAGTCAAAGCAATTCAATTAATAATTGAATCGCGTTTCCTACTGATGATGATGATGATTCTACACGGTCGAGATGGCCGTGGCTATAACTCTCAATTACTATGACCGAAAATTTATGGCCGAAGTCATATTCCGAGGGGCTTGGGAAAATTGAAATCGAAGGCAGCGCGAAAAATCGCCTAAACGATCGATGCCCATGGACCAATATTATTATTATTATTGTTGTTGTTGTTGCTGGCTGGCAACGAAATAATCCATTTCCGCACATGGAACGCACGGCCGTAAATAACGTCCCGGTGGACGTTCGGAGATGTATTTGAGGCAATAAATAACGATGATTATTATTAATAATAGTAATTCAGATGGAACGGGTAAAGAGATAGAAATTGTTGGATGAGGAGAGAGAGAGATAGAGATGAAAAGCCTAGGGCTGGGGCCTTCCTCGTCTCTACGTGGTGACTGAAAATCCGCCGAGAAACCGAATCCCAGTGAGAAGTATTTCGATTCATAATTGCTTGCTTTCCTCTAATTACTGTTTACCGGTGACCTTAAAGTATTTTCTATAAGTTGTAAGCAAATTCCGCATTGCAATTTGCATCTGCTCATTCTTGGATTCTCAGCATATTTTCATTCACTTAACATATTTAGTTAAATCATATCTCTCATCAATTTTTGAAATATTAAGAAATGTTGTGTTTTTAACATGAATTCATAACATAATTTATGATATTTACATTTAAAACTTTGTTCTGTAATAATTTATATATAAGTGTTGAAGTTATCTACAGTTGCTTTAAATCTACTATTTGAGTTTTGAGTATTTCATAAAATTATATAAGATTTTATACAACTTTGTTTGTTAGTAAATTTCTTTGGTACTTTTCCATTAAACTTTTGAAAGATTATGATTATTTTCGTGAACGATTTCTCTAAATGTTAGGTGTTTTATGTAATAAATTGACAACTAGGTATATTTTATATGATAAATCACTACTTTCTTTTTATTTTAAATTACATTTTTTACATTGTAATTTTTGGTAGTAAAGGGTGTCCCAAAATTAACGCAAGAATTGAATTTGCCGCCATTTGAGCAGTAAAGTGTTGGTAACAAAAAAAAAACAATATGACACTTTACTGCACAAATGGCGTATCCCAAAATTAACGCAAGATTTGAATTTTCCGCCATTAGTGCAGTAAAGTGTTGGCAATAAAAAAAACAATTTGCACAAATGGCGTGTCCCAAAATTAACGCAAGATTTGAATTTGCCGCCATTTGTGTAGTAAAGTGTTGCCAATCCAAAAAAAAAACAATTTGCACAAATGGCGTGTCCCAATATCTCTCATCAATTTTTGAAATATTAAGAAATGTTGTGTTTTTTTTTAAATGAATTCAGATCATAATTTATGATATTTACATTTAAAACTTCGTTCTGTAATAATTTATATATAAGTGTTAAAGTTAACTACAGTTGCTTTAAATCTATTATTGAAGTTTTGAGTATTTCATAAAATTATATAAGATTTTATACAACTTTGTTTGTTAGTAAATTTTTTTGGTACTTTTCCATGAAACTTTTGAAAGATTATGATTATTTAAAACGATTTCTCTAAATGTTAGGTGTTTTATGTAATAAATTGACAACTAAGTATATTTTATATGATAAAACACTACTTTCTTTTTATTTTAAATTACATTTTTTACATTGTAATTTTTGGTAGTAAATGGTGTTCCAAAAATAACGCAAGAATTGAATTTGCCGCCGTTTGAGCAGTAAAGTGTTGGTAAGCAAAAAATAACAATTTGACACTTTACTGCACAAATGGCGTGTCCCAAAATTAACGCAAGATTTGAATTTGCCGCCATTTGTGCAGTAAAGTGTTGGAAATAAAAAAAACAATTTGCACAAATGGTGTGTCCCAAAATTAACGCAAGATTTGAATTGGCCGCTATTTGTGCAGTAAAGTGTTGGCAACCCAAAAAAAACAATTTGAGACTTTTCTGCATTAATGGCGGCAAATTCAAATTTTGCGTTAATTTTGGGACATCCTATATTTCACGTAATAAAACTAATTCTGAATTAAATATGCAATTTAAAATCTCATAAAATAACCGTTTTCTCGCTTCAACTTACGGAATTTTGTTTTATCTTTCAAATTTTATTGTTTCAATGTGAATAGAAATGAGTGAAAACTGCGTAACTGCACGTTTCATATGTATAATATTTTTTTTCTTATGAACTTCTCTTGTACTTGGAGATTATTATCGGAGGTGATAAGCGCGCGGCGCGTAAGTGCTTTCATGGATGCGAGATATTTCGAACCCTCTGTCAACGGCAGATCAAAGGTTACGTAACGCGTGCTCCGACATCGGCGGCAACGATCGTTTTCGGTTAGGCACGTCCAAATCCAACGTCCGTGATCGTCAACATCATCAGTTTAACGTTGCCACGTTAATTGATATCTGCATTAATTGGATGTTATATAGTGAATATAAGCTGTAATACATGCTTGCTATAATATATCTATGATCTTTATGTAACGATGCACACAGTTTATATAATAAAACAACGTTTATTGATGGTTATAAACAACGTCATTGATGAAGAGTATGAAAATTATAAAACGAACGACGAAAAGAATAAGTTTTGTTATAGAAACATACACGATATGTTTGAACATTTATCTAATAATTACTATGCTACTTTCCAAGTAAGTTAATCAAGTTATGTTATTATTCAACTTGGTATGGAAGGAAACTTCTTGCAAGTTAATTTGTAATATCTCCGGAGGCTCTCGGATCGAGCTGCACTTTCCTCAGATGTCTTTCACCTCATGCCAATACAAATAAACTTTAAATGAAAATGATCCTTGCCTTTATTACTTATGTGAATTATTCTCTATATTAGTTTGTAAGTGACAAATTCTTTAAAAATAATGATTTTATATAATTAATTGCCTAATTTTATATTATTCAAGATGAACAATTTATTTTTGACATATTTTGTTGAAGAAAAGATAAATAATGGTATCTAAACTGTTGGAAGTTTCTTTGGAAGAGGAGAAAAAAATGCGGATTTAATGCAGTTTATGACGACGAGATCTGAAAAGATGGAGTGAAGCGGTGGTGGAGGAAGAGAGGAATAAGAAAAAAGTAAGGAAAAGAAACGAGGAACACGAGAGCAGAGGAAAAGCGGTGCGCGCCGGAGCGGCATCCGCAAGTTTTCCAAAGATAAAGCCAAGTAGACAAACACATAAACTAGAAGAACCGTTCTTTATGTGGTTAGTAACTGTAATCTGGAAGGTTTCTTAAATAAATGCCGCGATGGTCATCGTGAGCCAATAGGGCACACGCGTACAGGAATACAGTTCCAAAAGATATGGAGACCAGAAGAGAGTCTCAGTAACGAGAAGAATGGTAGAGGAGTGCCAGGATTCAATGGAAATGGTGTTTCACAATCTATAAATAAATAAATAAATAAATAAATAAAACAAGCGTTGTTCTTCTCACATACATATATATTTCATATATTATATATAAATTCTGCATTTCATTTAGGGGAATACAAATTCTTTAAATTTCATATGTATAATATACTTATATATTTTCCTTAAAGCTAAAACTTATAAAGTATAAATATAAAATCGTTAATTATCTAGATTTTATTAAGTTAAATTAAATAGTATATGGTATAATTTACGTTGGAATTCATCATCAATTTACTTATACAATTTAATTTCTCTTGATTTCGCGGCGGACGGCCCCCCGTTTATTTTTTTCATTTATATCTTTTATTATAAATTCTGTTTGTTATCCTTTTTACTAGGAGGGTGTGAGGTGTGTCGTGAGTGTCCTTAGGGGCAGGACCATCCGCCTCGGCTCTCGGGAAACGAGGACAAGCAATTATTAAATTAAACATTCATCCGCGATCATATCTTGATCGCTCCATTCACACCGTTCGATTACGAAACGAACCAAATAATAATAATATATATTATATGTATATTTATATAGATTAATTCATTAATTAAATGCCATTCGCTCGAGATCGTCCTGGAATCCTTCAAGCCGAATTCTTGCGTGATTAGTTAAAAACCTAACATATGTAGCGCCTTGCGATTGCGGGTGGTGTAACGCGTTTTGTAAAATAAAAACTGTTGCGTAAAATATGCTAGACCGGTTACCAAAAGCAAAAAAAATAAAATTAAAATAATAATAATAACGTGTGTGTATCGATTGCAGTTGCAAATTAAAATAGAAAAGGTTCAGCACCTCTGATGCAAATGCGCGATGTGTGCGTGGGTGATCGAGGCTCGTTATATGGGATAAGCTAAGGCTATTACTGTTTTACGCTAAGTCGAGTATTATTAACTATATTCGAAGGAGTCCGATAATGATAATAATGATATTGATGTTATTATTATTAATAATAACAATAATAATAAAGCGCCGCTTCCTTCGTGGACGAACGAAACAAACACAGATTTCCATCATCATTAAACTATTTCGTTCCTACTACATACGAGACAAGTAATAATTATTACGTACGTTATAAAATATTATCATTACTATTGCAATTAAGATGATGATGCTAAGATTGCATTGCATGTCCGACCTTGGCCCAGAGTTGTGTGGTTAGTGTGTATGTGTGCTGTGGTTGTAGTCGGGTACAGTTAGTTACACGCCGGTAAACGGCTGTACCCTACATATAGACGACAGACTAATGGCAAACCGTACTCGATGCCGTTTTCCTGTGTACATACACACATATAAATATGTGTGTGTGAATATATCTGTATGTATTTGTGCGCTGGACGAAACGTAAATGAAGGAAGGATTTCGCGAAATAAAGAAGGCTATAATGTGTGTATCGTGTCCCGATAAAATGGTACGCCAGGTATTTGTCACGCGCGTTTGGCTTTGCGGAATCGAAGCATTTCATTGAATAATATTATTATCACACGCTACTCTTGATGATTATACGTTTGATTCATAGACTGATTGATTGATGAATGCGTGCTGTGTTTTTTTTTAGTTTATAGGTGGAACTGTGAGTGTGTGTGTGGGTTGGCGCCTTCGTTTAGAATCTACGGGAATGTGCGTAGCCGTTGTCGTACAGCTTGCAAAGGCTGTCCGTGCGACTGGAACTTAGACCTGTTGGGAGGCTCAGACTGACGGACATGCCATCTCCTAACTTGCTGCTCAATCGTCTCCTTTGCCAGACGAAGGTCCAGGCTGCGATGATGGCCAATTGAGCGGCCAGGAAAACGGTGGCTGCTACGATCAGACCGGCCATGTTCACGCAGAAGCCTTGGTCGTTTGGTAAGAACATCGCCTCGCTTCCGATGGCGGATGCGGACTTGTTCATGTCGCGGTCGAAGCCGAATTTGTCGGTGATCTGGATGGTCTGGACGAGGAACATGTCGTCGTTGATGGAACCGGTGGAGCGACGCCTCCTGCGCTTTCCGAACGAGATGACGGATCTGAGTTGGCCGGTGCTCTCCTCTTGGTCGCATTGGACTGGTTCGCAAGTCGGCATGCAAGGTGTCACCAGAGCCCTGAACTGCACCACCTCGGAAGACGGGAATTTGAAGGCGTCGAAGTGTGATAGAAGAATCTGTTTAAAAAAAAATGTTTTATAGACTTTGGTTGTTTTTGCTTTTTTCGAATAGTACCTTTCCGGTGTCGGCTGATTTGTAAATTGGTCCCATGATGAGGTGGTCTGTGGGGCAACCGTTGGAGTCGATGAGCACGATTTCGTTGGAGCCTACTCCATCCAAAGCTACCAATTCTCTGACAAAGATTTCGTACGGGCTGTTCCTGTCCAAGATCTCGAAACGGAGGGCCAACGGGTCTCCGACTTCGGCGGTTGGCAAGAATTCTCCTCCGGTTCTGTCGGTGATCTTCATGGCTACATTAGGCGAATCGACGGTGACTTCTTCGGATAAACCTGGCTGCACGTCTCCGTGCACGTCCAAGTCAACCTCGTTGGTGACACTTTTATTGGTCAGGTCGTACTGGCAGGTGACGGCTAGGCCGAGATCGGAGCTCGTTATGATCTTGTCGTGGTGCTGGATGATAACGTCGTTCACGTATCTGCCGAGACCGTTCTTCTTCACGTTGCATTCCAGGTTGTCGTAGGCCATGGCCAGTTCGAATTCCAAGCTGTTGTTGACGTCGCGCACGCACGTACTCGGGCTGCCCTTCGCGTAAATCTTTCCGTCGAAGAGCTTGCTCGTTTGGATCCTTGCCACCATATCGCCCGATCTACAATCGATGCTCACGTTATAACAGGAGCTCAATTCGTACGTGGAGCCTTCGGGCAACTCCAGATAAGGATCCTGAAAACAAGTACCGATGTCAGAGGTGTTGTCCGTATGCGTTTGAGTGTATGTGTGTGTGTATCTTAATTCCAACTGGGATTTGAATTTACCTGAATGTCGGCAAGGGTGGCTCTCGAGTGATGGCTCAGACGGCAGACCATCTCGCCGGTGTCTCCGTAGTCGTACGAGTGGCATCTGTATGGAGAGTTCAGGCACAGCTCGCGGCACTCCTCCACGGATCCGATGTCCTGGTAAACGGAGTCGACGGTCTTCAGGATTCTTCCGGTCAGTTTCTTGAACTCGCAGAGCTTGGTCGGTTCCTCGACGCAATTGTTCTCCATGTAGTCGTAGCCGTCAGCTGGTTGGAAGGCGCTGCTTCCTGCCACGGTGATCCTGTCCATCTGGGACAGCTCGCAGTCTCCGGTCGCGTTGTTGAAGTTCGCAGACCTGAAACGTCGCTTTTATAAATAACTCCTGTCACCATTTCACAAGTTAAATAGACCGTGCCAGCAACTGCTAAACCTAATACCATTCATTGCAATCGGCCCCGATTGACAGATCACATACATCAGCAACAAACATCGTATAGCATAGCAAACATCGCGATTATTTCCATCGCAATTCCAATTTCCCCCCGTGCCGCAGATACATATTAGCAATCCATAATTTACGGAGAGAACGGCTTTATTACGCCGGATTCCAACCGATAATAGAATATTAATGCAAATTGCCGGACGCCGTTTACCTTTAGGTCACTTTTCGAACGAACCGAACACAACAAACAGAACGCTTCCTTATTTCCACCTTTCTCTCTGTCTTCTCTTAAAGCGCAATCAATCAAAGTCCCTTTCTTGTTCGCATTCTATCCAAAGAGCACTCTCGTTTTTTCGCTCGGAATTACCTCTATTTCCTGTAGACTATAAATGCAAATTGTTTTTCGTCTGATTTTATAGCTCCGCTAGAGAATTTCGCGAATTCGATTTGTTCGCCCTCGGACCTCGGCTTTTCATTATGCAGTAACGCTTGTTAATAAACAGAAGGCGCGCAGAGATCACCGCCACCGCCGTCGGCCACCGTAATTACGTAACCGTCCCCGGCGACTTCTCTGCATAATTTTTCCGTTTGCCTTAATCGCGCGCGGCTCAATGTCGCCCTCGTAATTGAAGGAAAATTGGCAGCTTCGACGTCCAAGCGATTCGCCGAAATTCGCTCCGGAAAATTTCTTATTTACCTGTCGGAATGCGAGACCGACTTCAAATCAACCGTATCAAAGAGCATCAAGACTAGGAAGGAACTATGCTTCCACCGTGACATCTTCTAAATTCACTATGAAATATGTTTAGTTTTACATATGATTCCAATATTTAACTATTTTATTGAAAAATAATCTATATTAATATTTTAACGTCTCATGTAAAAAGTACTTCTTTAAAGATATTTAATGAATGAGAATTTGATGAAGTAAATGATGATGTAGCTGGAAAATGAGCAAACACCCTCGGAACAAACAAATAACACCTTTCACGACCAGTAATCCCACTAATCTGTAGCAACTTTCCAAAGTATGGATCATTTGTGAAGAAAACGAAAGAAAATTGATATAAGTACTTAGTCCCTGAGCATGACCATAATTTGCGTAGCAGGAAGTTAAATAGTTGAACTTGAATACTTAAAACCAAATGAATACGTAACACGTCCTGTGGGTCTAATACCTATTATTATCGGAGCTGCGAACTTTGGAGTGCATCACCAGCGGAGCGTACCGTTCAAAAACAATGCAAGGAAAAATTATAATCCGATTTGGTTCTACACGGCACGATCATTTCCCTTCGATTTACATCGACGCGACCAGTATAATAATAATAACAATAACAACAACAACAGGAGTAAGAGTGTGTGAGAGAGAGAGAGAGAAGAATGAGTGTAACGATTTGGAATTGAATTGAATGCGGCCGCAAGAGCACAATCGCCGTGTATCCAATTATCTGGTATTTCGCGGAAGCGCGAAAAAAGAAGCGGAGAAAAGAATGAAGAATGGATGAAAGGAGACGGGATCCGGTCTAATTGATAGGTGTTTGACAAATAAAATAAGGCCGAATACGGGGAGAGCAATTAAACATTATTTTTTCCTTGAACTGTCGGATTGAGTGTGAGTGGAAGAAGAGAGTTAAAGTTCCCTATAAATATATAAATCGCTTCTCATTGTTTCTACCATTCGCGGCGCGTCCCAGAGACAGACGGAAACCTGTTAGATTCTTCCATGTTGGGACATGAGGAGAGCCGAGGTTCTGCATAAATGCATTTCGGAAAATGCTTTTCCCATGTCGCCACCTCCTCTCATGCTCACTCCTAGGTGTTCCTTATCGAAGCCGCATGAAATAAAAAGCAAGGAACAAAAAAATAACCGTCTGCTCCATCTGGTTACGTGATCTGAATAGGACGAGGGATGGTTCGGATAGGTGTGCAATTTTCGCTTCGATTTATTAGGCAAGTAGTCGAGGATTGAGATAAATTACGTCGGCCGTTGAATTTGTTAAATTATCAATAAATTTGAATGGTAATTGGTAAATGCATGTAGCGCATATGTCGGACAAGGCGGCCTCTCTTCGTGCTCCGCCGCAGTTGGAGAGAGGAATAATCTGATCCGTAAATCTTAATATTGTCAGCTTAGTGGAGCAGTCCCCGCTAGGACTGCACGGCGATATATATTGCATTGTGAACCTTAATATAAGCAATGGGTATAGAAATGCCATTTTAAATTGGATTGATTGTGCGATATGGATGTTATATATATATACATGTTTGTGTGTAAGTGTAGGATACGCTGTAGTCCGAGAACGGAATCGAAGCCCGCTTTATCCCGTTTTTCATCACATCCTATGTTATGCATGTACTGCCTCGTACAATGCCCTTACACAATTTACCATCGCCGCAGAAGCAGCAACCTTTCCTTATTATTTCCTTCGATCCACTAAACTCTGCACCATTCCAAAACCAAACAAAAATCAACTATATTATTACAGAAGAATTCTAGCTGTTGCAAACTAATTGGCAGTTTTTACAATATTAAGTACTAGTTTTTATAGAGATATATTAATTAGAATCAATTATTATATATAAATCAAGTTATAAAGTCTAATTTAAGTACATTACGAATGCAAGCATTCCATAATCAACACGTTCTATAGTACTTAGGTACAATTTTCGTGTGAGTAAAAAAGGTAACGATAATTTCGCATTATTAACTACAAATTATTACGAGTTTCCGGAAAGAAACATTACTTCTTATTCCAAAGTCGAGTCTGGTTTCCACGCGATAACTCACAAAACTTCGAACACGTCGAATTCCCTATAATTTTCCGCATGTCGTAAACGTCTCGCGAAATCGCTTCTTTTTTTTTTGTTGTTGAGCGCGGGAAAAATACCATTAAAGCACCGGTATGCATACGATTTCGGAATGAGAATCACTCTAAATAATATTATGTTAATACGAGTATTAAAATAGTAAACAACATCCGCAATTAATAATGGTTTACGAGCGCCGTTCGGATCCTTTGCACCTCGAATGGATTCCGGAAAGTGTACCGTTTTTGATGATCCGAATCAGCGCTTCAGAAAACACCGGTTGTTATGTATTTAAGTTAAATAGAGACAAATACAGTTTTGTTTGCTAACAATATGATCATCATGGATAGATTATGGATGATTTGTTATTATATAAGTAACAGGTGGAGCGGATGGAACTATTTTGTATTAGCATGTTTGTAATTGATGTTATGTGAGGAATTCCTTCAAGATAATCCTTTTATATAATGTGAAATTACTAGTTCACATGATCTGAACAATGTTGATTAGAAGCTTCATGTTGCATGTTATATTTCTCTTCAAATGATAAATAGAAGACATGGTATTAGGTTGTATATTTTACATATTTGCCAAGGTTGTAATTTGCAATTAATCTTCCTTGAATATAATCTTATAGCAAGTTTATAAAAATGTTGATCAGTAGCTTAAAGATGCATGCAATTTCTTCAAATGATGAATAGGAGACATGGAACAAGGCTGTATACATTAACAATTTATCAAGGTTGTAGTTAGCAAATATAGTTTAAAAAAGCATGTTTAAAAAGTTAATTAGAAGCTTGAATATTATTCCTCTATGGAAATGATAACTAGAATACTTGGAAAAGTAGGTTGTTTATATTATTTGTTTGTTTTATTTCGTTCTGTAATGGTTGGAGGGATGAGGGTGTGTGAGTGTGTGTTTTTATTGGCGTCGAGCGAATACTTCATCGTTTCGAGTTGAAAGTTTTCAATGCATATATAAAAGTGTTGTTATCGGTAGTGTGCAATACATATTTGGAGGCATTCAAAACGGGGAAAATGGGCGCGCACCGGCGGGGTCGAGGTCTGAATAACAAGCGATATTTTCGGAATTTATATACACATCTGCATGCGGAGGGCGGTTCGCGATGGTTTAGAGACGGGGAGATAAAGGTTTGTGTTGCGGATTGATTCCTCGCTGAATGCATCCAAGAGACGTCTACAAATTCTTCAGAAATGTGAAATATTTTACATCATTACCTTCATGTCTCTTTCTATAGCCTTTATATTTTTNNNTTTTTGTCAAACGGCAATACTTGATATCTATATAGATAAAAACTACTAAATCCTTTGGTAATCTTGAAAGTTCTTAAAAATCATTTAATTACTAAGGATTCTTAACTTGTGAACGTGGATCAATCTGATAGATATTCCAGGTATTCCAAAGTTGCTATGAACTATCCACTGTTTTTCCATTTAAATCCTGAACGTTGTCTCGATGGAAAGATGTAAATTGTGTTTCATCAAAAAGGCGATTGTGTATGTTGGTGCTAGATCAAGACTGAAGTGTGCTTTTAATGGTGTTTTCGTTTTTGATACCTGGAGGTGTGTGTGTGGTGAAGTTGATGTTTGCGCCTGCAAAGACCAATATAAACATTGAATGGAAGTAGCCGCCTACAGGTGTGATCGTGAATTAATTAGTCTCTCACGGGCAGCTCGCTTTAATTGATTCCGGGGAAATATTTCAAGAGTCTCGCGACCACCTACAACTTCCATCCGAAGCTGTTCCCAACCGAGGCGATGCGATGCGATGCGTCCGTCCCGTTACGTAATTAATAAATTGCGAAAACAGAGGAATTAATTAGAGCCCGATCGTAAAACAGGGCAATAAATCGAGTCGCATTTCGTTACTTCTTTTCATGATCATCATGATGATGATGACTAAACGCGTTTCCTGGATTCGCAAGAGTCGCAGAAATCGTTGTCTGTAAGAGGTTTGGTATGGATTGTAGTATTGTTCAAGATTCAGCATGTTGTATGTGTTTAGTGTCACCGAATACCAAATGATACGCCACACAGACAGTAGCTAGGCATATTGGACACTGTTTGCTAAATGCAATCAC